GAATCGAGCGCAAAGAAATCAACTGCTTTATACTAGCTCGTAAAAAAGATACTAGATATTGGAAGTTCTACGTCTCAACTTACTGACTGAATGACAGTTCTTTACTATCTTTATTTAGGCCAGTGAGTGGTATTTATACAAAATATCGATGATGAGTGTTTTAAGTGGAATCATAGCACAAAAAATGAAAATCGCTTTTAGGGTTTTTTTTCTATCCATAAACTAATACCATTGGACTTCAACGATGTTACTATCTTCCGTCTTATTTCTAGTCAAATTAATTAACCCTAATTAACTAATAAATAGCCCCAGTTAACCCTATGTGTTATATGACATGTATATATTCTTTAGTCATGGTCAATGGATTATTGATGGTCTTCCTTCACGTCCAGATGTTTGGAGAAGTTTCACGGAGAATGCTCCAGAATTACTGCCTGATTTAATTGTTTACTTAGAAGATACAAGTAACAATTCAGAGTACTTACTTCGACGATGGATTGAATTAAAAATTGAAGAATTCAGTGGTTTGTCAAATATTTTAGAGTCATTTATTCGGTTGTAATTGTTTTAATGTAATCACCGATTATTTTTGAAAATCTGGTTTCAGTAAGATGAGCGGAACGAAATTATTTTGAATCTGAAAAGTAATTCATTGTGTATGAATACGTTTATTTACTTAACAAGATGCTTTTTGGGCGGGGGTGAAAACGCCAAATGACTTTAGATAAATCCAGATTGTACATTTTTCTTAGTGTAGAAACAAAATTTTTTTAGTCAAAAATTATTTCAGCAAACACTAGGCAATTTTTCTATTGAAGTGGAAAATTGTGATTTCATTTACAGTCTGACTTACATCCATTTAGCACACTGTAAACAATAAGGTTATTTAGTATAGGTAACTTAAAATGTGATATTTAGTTTGTAGTTGAGAATTCTGCCTGCAACGTAAAGTTGTCTTCGGTTTTAGAAATAAGTGTGTTTATTTGATTCTGATAAAAGCCAAAAATCAAGGTGGACCTAAGAAAAGTGAGCGCTAGGGGTTCATAAAGAGCCCAGGTGTCAATTTATGTATCTAATCGCCTTAGATTCTTGGTTGTTTACACAGGAGCGTGTCAACTTCCTTACGTCTCTACGCATATAAATCCAGCAAAATAGTTTTGCTAAGAGCCAGATGGTTGCTGAAACACCTGAATGAGGAAGTCTATACAGCTTATTGATTACATGTTTACATGACCGGGCAAAACCGAAAACCAGAGAATGAAATCCCGGAAACTCATAATTTGATGTCCCCTTCCACTTACCTTCATTTTCTTGGGTTGATTAGTTAGTGATTGCGTTCTAACAGGTATAAGCTAATGATTGGAACTGGTATGTCTGCATTCACAAAATTTCCGTGAATAGGTTTTCATAGACTTAAATTAGTGTAAACGTACCTTTTATCGTGTGTGGAGAACGACTTTCCATTTGTTGCCAATAGAATAAACTGTGGATCTGGCTGAAAGCCATTTAATTTCGCAGGAAGGACGCGAACCAGTGCGTCTGTGTCGACGAGATAGAGAACCTTTTCGTCACGTCTGCGAGGTTTAACAGATGTTTACATCCACCAAAGATAATCAATATTCGAATATATTGAGTAAAGACGGATTCGTGTATTTATTTTTAGTCGATTCTGCAAATAATCTTGATCATTACTGTAGCACATGTTCCGAATCGTCCATAGCAATACCCTCTACAACAGCTCTTCACTGTCTAATATGCAACAAACAGATTTTAACTGTCAATCATGAATCTCTTATGAAGCCTCACACATACTAAACGACTTGTCGTGCTATTCCGAATCTTGTTTCATTTGTACATCATATTATAAATATCACCACTCGTGCTGCGACCAAACAATACCAAATTCCTAATCATATCGCGGTGCCGTATACCCACTGGTTGTGTTGATCTACATAACATGCCACTCTCATAAGCTTTTACAATAACTTGTAAGGTTGGTGAAATAAACGTAAATCCTGACCAACGAAACCATCAATTTGAACGTAGCTTTATCTTAGACGTCTGGTCAGTGGATGTTGTTAACAGGTAAGAGTGAATGGTGGATGAAATTAAGAGACCAATTGAAGACATAGTTTAGCTCGTATTTTGATCTTAGTTGAATATTTATGACGATAAAGAAATAATGGACGATATCCTAGATATTTTACCCAGTAAACACAGATAATTTTAAATCCATATTCGATCAAACTAGGCAACGAGAATGTCAAATCAGGAACTGAAAGTGAAGTCTAGGTCGCAATCTTTTATTGATAGAATTTGATCTTTATTCCGAATTCTGCTCCAAC